AGTTACTATTATTATTGCATCTCGCTAGGACGCACCATTTTCAAGAAAAAAGCATTTGAAAATTTCAAGGTAAGTTATTCAAAAGTGTAAACAATAATTAGTAGGCATGTAAAATCAGAAATTAATTTATTTTTACTTTGAAAAACCAGTGACTAAAGAAATTTTAAAAAATATTTATAAAAATAGGCCATCAGGACTTCACTTGTAACACCCTGTATATGAACCTATGTTTATATGAACTTTTATTCTTATTTTAGGATGTAGATCACGCTGTTAAAATATGACCGTCTAATTTCGGGACACCCTGTTGATATATCCGGAATGTAACATTACCCTGTATTTGTAAATAGGTTGAATGAGGGACATATGTTATGAGATTGTCATTGTCATAAGTGTTCTAATAAAAAATAATAATTATATTGATTCTGGATCATTTCATGGCGCAGTCAGTTCTGTAGGTATCCACGCTGCCAATTCTAATTCCGAAAATGCCAAAGGCAAATAAGAAAAAGAAGTCGCAAGACGAAAATGGATCTCCAGTTAGAACTACAGAAGAGTTGAACAGACAGGCAATAGCAAGTCTGGAATCTAATTTTAATAATAAATTTGTTAGAATCGAAGACATGCTTAGTAAAATGTTACAAACAACTCAAACAAATAATGGCCTAACTTCAGCAAGTGAAGTATCTGGTAGTGATCTACAAAAGAACGAGGATGTCCACTTTGTACGTATGCCAAATGCGATTCCGGCTTCGGAAATATTATATGACAACATGTCCTATTCTCAATTTAAAGATTGGAGGAAAAAATTTGAAAATTATTTGTTGATTCATGGAATACAAGGTGCACCATATCGACAGATTACAGCAGTATTATTTTCTTTTTTTGATCAAGAGATAACCGATGTTGTTCGCTTGATACTACAAATAGAAGATGTATCGACTGAAAGTCCTTTAACGATTTTAGATAAATTAGAAGGTTACTATAAAAATAAAGAAAATAACCGAATAAGACGTGGTGAATTTATTATTAGAAAACAAAACGCAGGAGAATCATTTAATTCATTTTATAGGGACAAATTAAAGTTGTTTCAGTTAAGCGACCCATGTAAGCATTGTTACGATCGCTGCTTAACAGATCATGTCATAGAATCTGTTCATGATGCAGATGTAAGAAAAAAATGTCGTAAATTACCAGACACTGCAGGGATAAATGAAGTCATCAAGTTATGTCAGGCAGAAGAGAGTGCTCAATTAGAAGAAAGTAGAAGCAATAAGGTAGTGGACGCTGTAAATAAAGATAAAACTACATATAATATTAGAAAATGTCAAAGATGTAATCAACCCTGGCATAAAAATCTCAGATATTGTCCTGCTAAAAATAATGTTTGCAGTAAGTGTCGTAAAAGAGGCCATTTTAAAGAATGTTGTAAAACTAAACTTGTTCAGGAAATAAATGATGATGAAGATGTCCAAGATAACTTCTTAGGAAATTGCTCTTCCAAAGTGACTACTATTAAGATAAACCAAGTTTACTCAAAAAGACGACAAATTTGTGTTTCAATAGTAATGAACAACAAAAATACTTATAGTTTCAAATATTTAGCTACACCAGATACAGGAGCAGAAGTGTGTGTTGCTGGAGAAGATTTCTTAAACAAGTGTCAAATTAACTGCAAAGATTTATTAAAATCCAAATATAAACTTGAATCAGCTAATGGTTTACCTTTAGAGTTATTAGGTTACATAAAATGTAAGGTGTATTACGAGCACAACGAAGCTGAAGTCAATATATATATCTGCAGGAATGTTAAAGAATTATTACTAGACCGCCAGTCACTTATTAGTCTCCGAATAATTCATGGTAGTTTTCCACAGCCATTGAAAGATACACAAGAAAATACCGTAGCTTCTATTAAAAGTTTTTCTAAAATACCAGTAAATCCATCACCAAAGGAATGTGAAGACATTAAGCAAAGGATACTACAGGAGTATAAAGACGTCTTTAATGACGACGAAGAATTGAAACCAATGGCTGGAAAGTTGGTGCACATACATTTAAAAGATAAAGTAGTACCATTTGCAATATCATGTCCACGAAAAATCCCTTTTGCTTGGAGGCAATCTGTAAAATCAGAACTAGATAATATGGTTAAGAAAGGGATTATAAAATCTGTTGATGATACGCCCTCAGATTTTGTAAGTCCCCTGGTAGTCGTTCAAAAAAGTAATGGAAAACCTCGAATATGTATAGATTTTACAATGCTAAATAAATTCATTAAAAGGCCAGTTCATCCATTTAAGGCTCCATGGGAAGCAGTTTCAAATATAAATAGATGCAGCAAATATTTTTCCACATTAGACGCCAAAAGTGGATACTGGCAATTAGGACTTGACAAAGAAAGTCAAATATTGACCACTTTCTTGACTCCATGGGGACGCTATCAGTTTCAACGGGCCCCTATGGGATTGGTGAGTTCTGGAGATGAGTTTTGCCGTCGAGGAGATGAAGCGCTATTAGACATAGGGAATATTGAAAAAGTTGTTGATGATATTCTTTTATATGATAGAACATTTGAGAATCATATCGAAAGAGTTATTCGCTTATTAGACCGTTGCCGTAGCAACAATATAACACTAAATCCTGATAAATTTATATTTGCAAAACCAGCAGTATCTTATGTAGGATATACAATTGGTGAAAATGGTATTAAAGCAGATCCAGTAAAAATTGAAGCAATCAAAGATTTTCCGGAACCGAAGAGTATAACGGAATTAAGATCATTTATGGGTCTAGTTAATCAACTAGGTCACTTTTCACCCGAAATAAGTTCATGTGCAGTTCCTTTAAGGGATTTATTGAAAGTCAAAAATGAATTCCGATGGTCAACCGTCCATGATATGGCTTTTAACAATATAAGAAAAATTCTTTCTGAACCACCTATATTAGCACATTATGACCCATCATTACCAACAGAAATACAAACAGATGCTTCAAGACTACATGGTTTGGGCTACGTTTTGTTACAACAACATGATGAAGTTTGGAAGTTGGTACACTGTGGGTCAAGATTTCTTAGTGATGCTGAATCAAGATATGCCATGGTAGAATTAGAATTATTAGCTGTTAGTTGGGCAGTAAATAAATGCAAACTATATTTACTAGGCCTAGAGAATTTTGTTATAAAAACAGACCATAAGCCTCTGATTCCAATTTTAAATAATCAGACCCTTGATAGTATTCAAAATCCAAGAATTCAAAGACTAAAAGAAAAATTAGCGGGGTTTATTTTTCAAGCAGAATGGGTACCAAATTCAAGACATTTAATGCCAGATGCCTTATCACGAGCTCCAGTGACATATCCCAAGGAAGATGATATATTGTTGGACGAAATTTACAAAATAAATGCCATTAATGAAGATTTAGCCGATATTAATAATCTTGAAAAATGTGATCCTATATTAAATGAAATTAAAGGGTTCGCAACAGGAGATCAAGACTATCAAAACTTAATGGAATTTATAGTTAAGGGTTTTCCAGATACCAGAAGTCACTTGCATGCAGCATTATTACCTTATTGGTCAGTTAGAGGTGAGTTAAGCGTCGAAGATGGTCTGATTTTAAAAGGTTGTCAAATACTTATACCTAAAGAAATGAGGAAGTTGGTTTTGAAAAGGCTTCACGATTCACACCAAGGAATCGAAAGAACTAAATATCGTGCACGTCAAGTGGTATTCTGGCCAGGGATATCAAATGACATTAAGAATATGGTAGAATCATGTGAGTTATGCCAGGTGTCTCGACCTTCTTTGCAGAAAGAAACAATGGTACATGATTCAGTGCCAAATCGACCATATATATCGGTATCTTGTGACCTTTTTACTTGTTTTGGGAAGCATTATTTAGTTTATGTAGATAGATTTTCTGGATGGCCAACTATTTGTCATTACAACAATAGGGTACCAACTAGTTTAAAAATTATAAATGATTTAAAAATTATATTTGCTAGTACAGGAATACCCATTCATATCCGAACAGATAATGGTCCTCAATTTAGCTCATTCGAGTTTAGACAGTTTTTAAAGAACTGGAAAATTATTTATTGTCCTTCTACACCTTATTACGCTCAAAGTAATGGGCATGCAGAAGCTGCAGTAAAGGCGATGAAAAATTTAATTAAAAAATGTACACAAAATGGTAATTTAAATGAAGACACATTTTATTGGGGATTGTTGGAGTGGAGAAATACACCTAAAGCAAACGGTCGTTCTCCTGCTCAAATGATTTTTGGTCATCCATTAAGATCTTTAGTACCTGCTCATACCAAATCATTTTCATTAGAGTGGCAGATAGATGCAGAGAAGTGTGAGAAGAGAGCCCTAGATCAAATTGAATACCAAAAGAACATATACAACAAACATGCAAAAGATCTACCAAAATTAAACATAGGTGACACTGTAAGAATACAGGACCCGATTACCAAACTTTGGAACACTATTGGAGAAATTATTGAGGTAGGAAGATATAGAAACTTTACAATTAAATTAGTCAACGGCAGAGAAGTAAAGAGGAATAGAAAATTTTTAATAAAAATTAAAAAAAAAAGGGAGATGAAGGAGAAGAAATTTAGAAAGGGGAGATGATATATCCGGAATGTACATTACCCTGTATTTGTAAATAGGTTGAATGAGGGACATATGTTATGAGATTGTCATTGTCATAAGTGTTCTAATAAAAAATAATAATTATATTGATTCTGGATCATTTCACCTGTATATATTCTTATGAAATATTATTATTTAAATATTTGTCTCTTTTACTAACCTATTTTTTAAAAACAAATAAATTTATTACCCAACAAAGAATTCTTTATTACAAAACAAACCTTAGCTCTTAAGATAAACTAAAAAGGATATAAGCACGTTAATTAATTGTTATCTCCTCCTATTCTTGTTCTGCACTATCTTTGCTATTTTGCGATTATTCCAAGATTAGATATTCAAATCAAATGCTCATTTACTAGATCAAAAGATTTCCAATTATTACAGTTTGAAATGATAAAATGAAAGAACAAGTCACTAGTATTAAGATAGATTCTAAATTAGCGCCAAAACCAGGTGAGAAAATATATTTTATTTATTTGTCAGGTGTGCTTGTAGTTAATACATACATTCGTATAAAAATTACAGTCTCATTCCTATAAACCTCTAGTTATTATTACTATAATGCATCAAAGAATTTTTAAGTATTTTATATCAAACAAACTCATTTTGTTTCCTTCTATCACTTAATGTTGTGCTGTTTTTATTTAAATTCGTCATCATTTTCATCACGAGGCCCTCAAATCATTGGGTTATAGCTATTTAGGAAACATTTGAGAAAACTTGAACTGAGATACACCACACATGTGGAATTTCATACCAACATAGTTACGGAGGAAAATATTAATAAATTGATAAGCTCTGGTTAGTCCAATACATATACTAACAGAAGGTTCATTCATAAGAAAACAAAATCAATTTCCGAACAAACTAAATCGAAACCGTAAAAGACTTTTTCATAAAAGCAAGTGAATCTTATTGGCTCATTTACATTTATCACTTTGGATGTTCATCTTAGAGGAATCATCCTAAGTTATACCTAGGTATGCCTTTTATTTTTGTTTCATCCAAAGGGTACACTAAAGATGGAACGGTGAGTATCTACTAACATTTATGAAAGAGTGGTTGCCCGAACCAATGATCATCCAGAGTAAAGGAGCAGTGAAACATGTAAGCAAATTGATTTCAGTGGTTCAGATCGGTGTTTCGGTCCCATTTAATATTCAGTTCATATCCGCCAGTCGAATATCAATCGTAGATAGTTCGAACATTCCTGGCACAAGTTGTCCTTCACCTTACAAAGAATAGACGCGAAATAAACAGTGACAGTGTTGCGTGAAAAGTGAAACCGCAGAACTGGATGAAAATATATAAACAAGAATGATTGTTCTGGATGATTCACGTTGCTTGATTCATTTTGGATGTAGGTATATCAAAAGTTATACAATGTAAATCCCACTTTAGGCATATTGGATTATTCCCTATGTAGAAAATGTGAAAAAGAGAATCAAACACCTGTTAACATATTTTTTTTTATTTACAATACTGCATCAACCTCGGAGGGTTATTAGCAGCCATATTATCTAGGTCACATATTATGTAGCAGTTGCATGTCTTTTAAAAATTTAATTAAATTTTTATGGTCACTGTCATCCTGGAGTAGAGCTTTCAAGTTGTTTTGGAGATTGTTATTTTGTCGTTCTAAAGTGTATAGAGGACACTCAATTAGAATGTGTTTTACTGTTATGAGAGTATCACATATGTAACATAGCGGTTCTTGGTCACCAGACATTAAATGTTTGTGCGTTACTCCGGTTACAAGTTAAACGGGTGCTAATGAAATAGATAAATAGCACAACATACATTTTGTTATAGCAAATTAAAGACCCTTAAACGTATGTACGTAAATTTAAGTAGTAGCCTTTCATTGGAAGTTTGGCATTGGTCTTTTTGTCACAACGGGCGGCAGAAGACCTTCGTCATTTTACCAGCAATAAGCAATGAGAGGCTTGCAAATTGCCGGCAATTTACTATAATATTAATGTTAATTTCCCTTCAAAGAGGCTCGTAATTTTACCAGACATAAATAGTGAGAGGCCTGCACATGCCCATCAGTTTCTTATAATATTAATATTAACTTGCCTTTAATCGCTAGTCACCTAACCAGCAGTAAGTGGTGAAAGGCCTTAACTTTACCAGCAGCTTCTCATAATATTAATGTTAACTTTCTTTTAATGCGCTTGCATGTGTCTTATCACTTTAACAGCAATACGTAGTGAAAGGCAGTAGTATCCCATAATATTAATGTTAACTTCCCTTCACAGGGCTTGCATAAGGCTCTTATATAAAATGATACTTTACCAGCATAATATTAATGTTAACTTCCCTTCAATGGGCTCGCATGTGTTTTATCACTTTACCAGCAATACGTAATTAAAGACCTATAGTTGGACATCAGTCTTTCATATTATTAATGTTAATATCCCTTCAAAGGGCGTGAATAAGGCTCTTATATAAAATGATACCGGGCTTTTAAACGGAATGTAACACGTGTGACACATAAAAAAAATAGGCAAGTAAGTGTGACATCTCGTATAACATTAACTTAAATGTCTTCATACTACACTTGTAACAAAATCAAATTAGTATGTAATGCTAGTAGGCACCTTATATTATTTAATAACTGTTTAATTTTTTTTTAAGTTAATTTTGTGGTGTATTGAATTACTAACAAAATTAGCTTTCGTATGAGATATTTTGTGTTACATAACACTTTTTACCCTAAAGAGGAGACTAAAATCGAGTTTTTGGTTATTCGTACTCATGTATCTACTTTTGCATTAAAAAAAAACACACGGTACATTTCCTATCTAACTGCTCATTCTGATATCATCTTTAGTTCATGAGATATAACCATTGTTTTTAAATTATCACCCTATATAATAATTATCTCAGTACAATTAAAAACAATTTAGATAATGGAGTGACCTAAAAAACACAATTAAAAATAGGACGAATTTGTGCTCGATAACATTTCCACTCTAAACGCAATACAAGACTATAAGAGGTACAAGAAGTAAAAGAGGTTTTCTTTTTATTTATGGAAAACAGTTGAAAAATCACCAGTGACTCGTCGAATAATTAAAGTTAAAAGCCAGTTAATTAAAAATTTCAAAAGGGCTGTAACATTTGTACCGTTGCACGTGGAAAACAGTTAAAAACCATATACGGCTTATCGAATAATTAAAGTTAAAAGGCAGTTAATTACAAAATTCAGAGGCCATAACAATTTTACAATTGCATGTGAGACACGGTTAAAAAGCCATCAACGGCCCATCGAATAATTAAAGTAAAGGCAAGTTAATTAAAAATGTCAAACAGGCCGTAACGATTTTACAGTTGCATGTGTGAAACAATTAAAAAGCTATCAATGGCCCATCGAATAATTAACGTCAAAGGACAGTTAATTACAAATCTCAAACGGGTCATAACGATTTTACAGTGCCATGTGGGAAACAGTTAAAATACATCAATGGTCCATTAAACAATAAAAGTTCAAGGACAATTCGTTACAAATTTCAAAAAGGCCATAACGATTTTACAGTTTCATGTGGAAAACAATTAACAAGCCATCAAGGGCCCATCGAAATATTAAAGTAAATGGGCAGTTAATTACAAATTTCAAAAGAGCCATAACTAATTTACAGTTGCATGTGGGAAACTGTTAAAAATCTATTAACGGCACATCGAACAATTACAGTTAAATGGTAGTTAAATACCAATTACAAACAGGTCAAAACGATTTTACAGTAACATGTGGAAAACAGTCAAAAAAACCATCAACAACGGCCTATTGAAAAATTAAAGGACAGCAATTTTACCGTTACAAGTTACTTTGTCATCATATTCCTTAAAGTGCCAACAAATTGCCACAACTTCAATGTTTGTTGGCAGAGAATACCATAGATTCTAGTTGGAACTTCCAGACTATTCATAGAGGATCCATGCAAGAGCAGACAAAATTAACTTCTAAACCTAAGCAGGAGCGAACTACAGGCGGTAATAGGATTGTTTATGGGCCACTGAGACCTTACAAGAACAAATATAGAAAATTTTATCTACGACCGTTTTAATGATCGTTTATTAATAAATAACTATTATTTTCTCTTTTTCGCCTTTTGTGAGCAGGTTATTATAAAAGAAATTTACTTTATCGCTCGGCGGGCGGTAAAGTAGTCTGCGGCGATAAGGGAGCACATTACGCCCGTCGAACGTATTTATAAACTGGACTTTATCGCCCGGTCGTGCATAAATTATATTTTATTTATATAGTATAATAAACTTTTCATAATTAATCATTTATTAGAAGGTTAGGGGGTTAGTTTTGTTTCCATTAAAAATGAATGGCCTACCAAATAGTTTATAAAGTACATGCGGCCCCTACTTTTTTTAATATTTTTATGCATAAACAGACAAATACAATAAATATGACAGAAGGAATGACATTTATTTAAAAGACCTCAAAACTTTTATTGTAAATTTGAATTACTTTTGTTGAAAATTTTACGTACACAATGCGTTTGTTTTGTTTCAAGCAGAACCGTCCATTCCAGTTCTCAAATACAATGGACGAATTAATTTTTCAAGAACATGTCGCGAGGTTATAACAACTTCTTAGCTGATCGAGTGTAATTCAGTGATTCTGAAGTAGTTTCCGAAAGAACCAAAACAAGCCTGTTAATTTTGATTTTTACAGAATTACAGTTTATGTTAAAATCGTAAAATTCAACACCCGTTAAAAATAAACGTATTAAATTACAGAATTACCACTTTTACATTTTAATATTTCTTTTAAGTGTAAACAAAATTTATATTGGCAACAGTGGTTCGGTTAGCATTCCATCCCCCATACAATCCCAACTTCTGGATTCCCCCAATAGAAATATGAAGGGTTACTATCGCAATCGGTGTTGCTAGCTAGGTTTTTTGTAATGTGTAAATTTCTTTATACTTAATTTAATTTTTTTTAATAAACGTCCCAAGTAAAGCATTTACGATTATTACAATCTTATCATTAAGATCTATTAAAAATTTTATTCTAACCTAACTTATTTAAGGATGAAAAACTTCATAAACTAAGATTCTACTAACTAGTCTTCCTATATATGATATGTAAGTCAAATGGCACCATCAATCATCTTTAAGTCGCTCCGGAGCGCCACGGCAAATAATAATAATAATAATAGCCGTCCCTTTCCCCGCACAAGCTCAGCTTTTGGGGTTAAAATTCACTCGTAAGGGGGCGAATTAGGGAGATTATTATTGTTATTATTATAGTGTACCTTATTTAGTTACGTATAACACTAAACCGCACTACCCTCTGCTTTTATCTAACATTACTGAATCAACTTAAAAGACTTGGTTCTCTTGAGTCTTCTTATTAGATTGTTGAGGAACTGGATAACCTGAACGTTTCCATGTTGGAGCAGTCGTAATTCGTGACTACGGACAATTTTTTGTAGTATAACTTGGATGTTGCTTTTAATGGCAGAGCAACAGAGCTGGATACAGTACGTCCATACGGGTCTTTTCTTTATACCTTTTTCTTGTATTGTATTTCCTCTAAATCATCTACATATTCTTCAACTTTATTATGTAGGTAACATATTTTTCTCCCTGACTTATCTAAAAACCCCTCCAAATTCTAATGAAAATCTTAAATTTAATATTCCTTAAAATTCTAATGACCACCCAAATAAAAAGTTTAAAATCCCACTACCATTGACGTCAGAATCCTAAGGTCGTTTCGAATAACTATTCGACGCCAAGGATACAGAATGGAAACATTTTATCAAAAGTGATAATGTATTTATATTTGTAAATATTGTAGACAAGCACTGAAGATGGCTTGTTGCCTGCACGAAATACAAGTTTTCTTTGGTAATCTAATCTGCGGTTAAACAGCCGTTAACCCTTTTTGGTTCCTTTAAATTAAGTCCTTTTAGGAAATAAATTCCAATTCCTTTTAATTAAGTCATTACTATGGTACTATATGTAAACAAATTACGGTGTATTTACTAAACATTCCCAAAATTGTGTTCATTAGTTTTATATTTTTTTGTATGCAAAATAACGATAATTGAAAATATTATATAGTCGATTTTTAACATTATTAGGATTAGTATCTTCTTACTGCATACACGTTTGATATGTTATGGTTCTCTTGTTCTGGTGACAGGAACGAACAAATAAAAAAAATGGAACCATTTAAGGTGATTACAGCACCCCTTATAATTGTCGGACAAGCATATCTCAAAAAGTATTTTTTTTTTTAAATTTTGGCAGAATAAATTAGGCTATAGTATCTAGAATATGCATAATTTTAATTTTTTCCAGTTTCCAAGAAAAAAATCAAAGGGCTTTAAATTTTGAAATATCATAATAAAAATAAATGCATTTCTCAACAGCACTATTCTTAATATAATCTCCAAATTTAAGCTCCTAATTTCTTGTTAACGATTTTTTAAAACTCGCCGAAATTAGTGGCTAAAACGCCTCGTTAAGTGCTGCTTTCTGGTGTAACGCGTCTGTAACTACCGTATCGTACACTCTCAGTCATCATTCGTTTCTTGCAACGATTTACACCAGTTTACACCAAAAGATAGCACTTAACGAGGCGTTTTAGCTACTAATTTTGGCGAATTTTAAAAAATCATTAACAAGACATTAAGGGCTTAAATTTGGGGATTATATTAAAAATAGTTCTGTTGAGGAAAGCATTTATTTTCATTATGATATTTCAAAATTTAAAGCAATTTGATTTTGTTTCTTGGAAACTGGAAGGAAATAAAACTTTAAAATATATGCATATTCTAGAAATTATTGCCTAATTTATTTTCCCAAAATTTTAATTTTTTAAAAAAAATACTTTTTGAGATATGCTTGTCCGAAAATTATAAGGGGTGCTGTAATCACCCTAATAGAGCAGCGACCTACATGTCTGGCAATTTTTTTGTTTTTTTTTTTATTTTCTGGCCACCGTTTCAATGTGGTCGGTTCATGTAAATGGCAACGTTGACACCATTGCTTTGTCGCTCGCTCCAATGCGAACTTTTTGTAGCTTTCACTCGCACTTGTACCAAGGGATATTAGAAAGTATTCGTAATAACTAGGGGACAGATACGAGCAAATAATTTAGAATAGTGTTTTTACAACATTTACAACTGGCTTACCCTATTCATAAGCATAAGATTCAATTTTATATCATTCCATATAAAAAGCTAATCATATTCCTTTCCTGTTATCACCTCGTTTGATATTATTACCTACTAAAAAGCGTCTATTTCTTTTTAGCTGGTTTCGGTTATCGTCACCTACAATATGCTCTCATGTTTGCTGCATGTACTGTGGCCTACGGAATGAGAGGCGTTTTAAATGTAGCCATCATAGCAATTATAAAAAAATACTCAGACGACAAAGATTATAAGGTAAGGTTTAAATAAGTTCCTGAGAGTGTAGAAATTTGTGTGTTTTTTACTGGCTACATTGAAGTAAAAATATTTTAGTCTCCTCTACTTTAATATTATGCAGGATCTAGGATGTGTAGGGTTAAGGTTTAACAAATTTTAATTAGTAGTATCTGCAAATATCAATAGTTTTTTAAAAAATGAGAAAAACGATCCAGGAATTTTTAGGAAATCTGACAAGGTCGCATTAAATATTTGCGAGCAAATTATTTTTAATAGAAATAGTATTTATTAAAAGATGTAATTAATTATTTTGAGAACAATTTTTTTTAATACGATGCTATTTGTAACAAAACCGTTATAGAAATGAATTATGTAAATTTTTTTATATTTGTGTCAAAATATACTGACAGGCAAAAAATATCATGGAAAAAATCAACCCACATAGGATTTTTTACTCACATATAATAATAAGAAAGTAAAATGTATTTTTATACATCTCATTTGTTTAAAATGCTTTTTCATAAGAATAAAAAAGTCAAAATCTTGATCAAACTCAAAGATACTATCATTATTTGGCTTAATGGGGACAATGGGGAGAGCACAATAATTAGTTTCGTGTATGTCGTGTGTTACAATAGGCGGCTATCTCTAGATTTTGTTGTTCAACAAAAACCAGTTCAGAAGAACTTACCTGATCCCTACCATTTTTGTGGTTCAAAGGAACAATAATAATTTCTGCTTAAGGTGTCTTCTATGACGAGCAGAAAGGCTCTTAATTGATTTGTACATTTGTAGAATGTTTGTACTTACCAGCAAATATGCACGAAAGTTATCACTATTAAAACAAGTAAAAAACAAACAATAAATATTATAAAAGAAAGGGGCCTTTCATCAATCCAAGCCTTAAACATTCAATCTTCAAACAGCAAAATAGGCGGCACCAGCACCGCGGCAAAAATAAATTGAAGTTAGGGAATTTTCCTTCCTTTTTTATTCTTGTACAATGAACCATCAAGAAACCAGCAACCTTTAAGGGCGATTCACAGGTAACATTACCATTCAATATACCGCAACGTATCTGCAATATTAATTTGTGCATTTATTTATCGCGCTTTATAAGTAATATTCCATGAGTATTTCAACAACATTTCATCGTAATGTTGTCATAAATGCATTAATGAAATGTCGTTGGGAAGTTTTTTATTTAGCTTGAAAAAAATGTTCCTTCGAAATATTTTTAAAATGAATCAGATATATTTTTCGAAAACAATGCAACGTAACGTTTAATTGTCGATTAAAAACGTTACAGTGCGCTTGCTACAATGTCCGCAAAAATTAACAGCTATCCGTAAACTAGAACAAATTCAAAGAGCAGCATGTCTCAACATAACAGGAGCCATGAAAACACCGACCAAAGCCATGGAATTCATTCTTAGTCTCACTCCCCTTGATATTTACATCAAGGAGGTTGCTCTCACGATAATGACACGCCTCCGCACGGTTGGAATAGAACCTGATGTAGGATCTGGTGAGGCGAGACGTCGCTTTTGGCAGGAGGCGCTCGATACGCTCCCACTGCATCAAGCGAACATAAACTCCATCTCACCTGGATATAATATCTTCCATAAGTAATATAAAGTTATAATAGAACAAATAGAAGAGCCAGAAGTGGCAGGTACGATTCATATCTACACCGACGGTTCTAAAATAAAACAAGGCACAGGATGTGGAATATACTCCAAATTCTTAAACCTAAACATAAAATAGGCTGTAAGCAATAGTGTAGTTCAAACACAGCTAACGAGGATATAACCATATAACCATAAATAATATCACTGGAAGGATCATGCTCATCTATACAGATAGCAGACAAGCACTACTCACCCTGAACAGACCACGAATTTACTCAGGGTTAGTACTAGAATGTCACGAAGCTTTGGCCGAAGTATTCATCAACAATGTGGTCACCTTAAGATGGATCAGAGGTTATGCGACATCGAAAAGTAACCGTCTTGCTGATTCACTAGCCAAGAAAGCAGCCAACCAAATACTTTTTGGACCTGGCCTTTCTATTGGCATTACAAAATCGGTAGTGACAGACCTAATTAAAGAACATTCTCTTGTCAAATTCAAGGAAAGATGGGATGAATCAAGAAATTGCAGAGTTTCCAGGGAGCTTTTAAGTTATCCTGACAACACTGCAGCAAACAAATACTTAACTATGACTAGACAGAATCTGCGCCTAGTCACAGGCATTCTGACTGGTCATTACCAAGTACGGAAGCGTCTCCATATCATGCGGCTGTCAGAATCCGCACTCTGCAGAGGGTGCGAACAAGAAGTTGAGACCATCGAGCATATCCTTTACGATTGCTCGACGCTCTCATTTATTAGAAGATTTGTGTTCGGCGAGTATTGGCTAGCACCGGCCGATATAAGAGAAGCACCTCTTGGCGACGTTTTCAATTACATTAAATCTGTAGGCTGGCTCACGAGCTAGGAGTTGCCTATCATCTTAGGAGGGTGCACAATGGGCCTAATGAGGCCTAAGTGCCGTGGGGGTAACCCACCCTCCACACATTACAGATACAGAGAGAAGGAATAAGGAGGAAGTAAACTAAGTAAATAAGGTGGTGTAACGGGTGTAATTTACACTGGTGGACACTGCACCTACAGCGAACGAAAGAACCTATAAAGTTTGCAGTGCCAAGATTTGGAGGGAACCTAGTGATCATGTTTAAGACTGTTATTTTTGTACCGTTAATCCAAGTAAGCGTCGAGCTGGTGAAAATGCTGAAAATATATTTTTTTATTGGTACCCTATTTTACTTATTTAAAGTACGCCTCAGCTTGTTTAAAACGAACTTTAAAAAACGTGCGTTTTAAAGTTACCATGGCAACATCAACAACCCGAGAAACGTGATGTCTAAATGCCAACTTTTTAAATATTGATCTGACAGGAGTGCTTTGTAATGTCAAATAAAATATTTCTGAGAAATTTTTCAAAAAATGTATTTATCAGCTAAGCGTAAATCGCACAATTCACATCTTCTACAAGAGCCAAAGATGCCACAAATAGCAACCACCTTCAAAAAAAAATACGTAATGTCCGGTGCATCTGTAAAAAACTTCCGCAAATCGTCTTCCTCGAATACATATGCCTTCTTGACTACCTCATTTTGCTAATTGCCTTCATGCATGCACTTTGACGAACGATTTTATATCGACCCCTTTGTTTATTCTCAACATACTTTGTAATTTTGAATGGATAGTCCACATAGTCGATACTTTATACTGTTCCGACATTTTCTGGAGATAAGCGAGAACAACTCGTTCATCTATATGTGTAACCATTTGCTCTTCCATCCACGTGTTGAATTTATCATATTCTTTTTTATAACCCGCTTCGGATTTTTGTGTTATTACGCGCGATTCTGCTTTATTATTTAAATACTCAATATTTGAACTCATTTTAAACAATAACAACTGTTGCGATAATTAATCTTACGTGACAGATTGAAAATAAATTTTTGTTTGTCTAATTTTCATGACAACGAGATATACTGATGTTACATCACAAATTCAACCATTTTCAGTTATTAGTTCTTATTTCCATTTTTTTTTGTAGAAATAATACCAATATTTAGGATTTCAAAGTATACCAATAAAAAAAAAATAGCGTAAAGTATTCGTGGATAACTGGTCTTTAAAACACTTGCTCTATTTCGAGCACTCCGACTGTGCCGTCATGCTCGAAAAATCGCGCGTGTTTTAAAGACCGTTATATCCACTTACACTTTAATATACTATTTTATCCTGATCTTCCTTTCAACATCTTCTCCAATACCTCATAGTGAAAATTTTTCCGTGATATCTCGGTCAGTATTAGTTAACTTCGGAATTTAATGGCCGTAAAGTTCAACAGAATCCAATACGCTACTTACTAACACCGATGTTAGTGAATACATCGCAGAGTTTTGGACCACATTTCATCAGCTCAACAGAGACTTAAACTTACCCAAGAATAAAGTAAATATTTTAGATTTACGATTAAAACAATGAAATTTGCTTGAAGATGATGGAAAAATAACTGACCAAAGAGAGAGCCATAAAATGTTTTTGTATTTTTAACACGCTTTTATCAGCTTCACCTGTATGTATTTATGTATGTTTGTAACTCTCCTTTGGACTAAAAGCAAGTGGCTAATCGAACTAAAAAGTAAAAAATAAATAAAAAAACTAAAAAACACGCTTTTATAATACATCGAACTAAAAAGTGAAAAATAAATATAGTTTAAAAAACAAAAAAACACGCTTTTAGAGCATATCAAACTAAAAAGTTAAAAATAATTTTTCAAATAAGCTTAAAACAATAATAAATGGAAAAGTATTATTGTGAAAAAAGCGTGGGGCGCTCTGTCCATATTTCTCGTACATCGACCGCCAATCACAAGGACAGGATTCATTACAGTTGGTTTAACCGTTTGGGAAAAATGTTGAAGCCAATCCATGATTAAATTCTCGTTGTTCCAACCTGACACTGAACAAGAAAATAGAGCTCCACTTGGGCCATTTTTCGCCAAAAGGTCTGTCATACGCTTTCGAGGAAAAATTAACATTGGTGCCTACCAAGTGCATTACAATAGCAAATTACTGTTATATTTCTTCCTCTCTCTGCTGAAGTCTTGTAACCAAGTTGCTTTATTCCCTTTGGAGCCAAACACCGGTTTCTGAACGACTGTAATTCCGGTTTCATCCACGTTGTAAATATTGTCCCGAGTAAATTTATATTTGGTAGGTATATACTATCTCTAGATTTGAGAAAAATTATTTTACGGATTCCTGGTTAAAAGCTTTGATTCGATTAACATTAGTGGTCTCAGGTTTCCGCAAATATTTGGATGTCCTTCCATGAAATTGTAGTACAAGTCTTTCCCAGCTAGTTTTCTTTCCTTATTAAATTTATGGCGAACATTATTAGCTTCCGCATATTGGTATGCTAGTTTTCTAAGCTGAATTTGATTTAATCCGTAAAACATTTTCGCCAGTTTAATGACGTGATCTGCCAATTCTTGCTCTTGTTGCATAGTAAAAGTAACCACTCCACCCAGGCACATAGGCTGATACCTTTCTTCTTCCGATAATTTTAGTTTTTTTCTGATTGTTGATTCCGGAATTCCATGTTCATTGCCAGCAGATCGTATAGAACATCCATTGGAAATTTCTATAATAGTATTTCGCAACTGCTCTGCAGTCCATTTTCCCTTCTCAGTTTTTCTTTAATATTTTCTCGGCATCTAAAATATAATATTTTCACATTAAAAAACCTACACACTGATTTTAAACTTTAAGTCGGGCAACTATGCGCACGCACAGTTACCCCAACAACCGTGCGCATAAATACCCAATCAGACAATTTTTCTCACTTTGCTTTCTCCAACAAAAAAAAAAAATACAAAAAAATTGAAAACTAATAAAACAATAATATTCAGGGAAGTTTACGCTTTTGTTTGATACCAAATTTATCCAGCTTAAGTAAAAAATAGCGTACTTACGGCTTGTTTTATTCTCCAGCAAAAAAAGATAATTTAACCTCACAAATCCAAACAACCAACTGTTGGCTTTCTAACTAAGTTATCATCGCAAATCACATGTTAGTTAGGAGTTTGGCGGTTTAACTATAGATGGCACCACGTTTCGAATTTCAAACAATAAATATTATGGCGGTATTTAGATGCAAACAGTTTCCCACTGCGTGTATTCACCAGAATTTCCCCTAATATTTATTTACAAAAAAATACGATCAATAAATATAGGTATGTATAAAAATCCCTTACTATTTCACTTAAATGTAGTTAATCATTTATTTAAAAAATAATTTCACTATGTGACTCTCAAAAAACGTTAAACAATAAATAAAAAAGAGGACTTTCGTATCCGGCGTCTAAAAGTAATAGATAAAAATATTATCTGCAAAGAAATAGGTAGTTGTTACAATATACAAATTGGGCCAGCCCGCGTTTCTGGTGGATTTGAATTCCGAGAAAGATAGGCGTCCCGTTAAACTGAACCGAGAAAGATAGAACTATTACACGTACAATTGTCTACACAAACAAAGAGAGGGTTGCATACAGAGATATGCTATGAAATGGATGAGGTACCTCTCAACTTCGACCGAACGGAAAGCGGTAGAACAGCCTTTTAATAAATAAGGTGAACACCACAATATATCCCCTATAGTAGTGCATCTCACTTGTTAAAGAGTTGGCACTAAGTTTGCAGCGCAAAAATGCGTATGTGTCTGGCCGCTCAACTAACTCGATATGGCGGTAAATTCAAATATAATTTTAAGGCGAAATTTAAATTTCCCGCCAAAATCGTAAATTTCCAGCAGCGGAATGGCGGGAATTTTTAAATATATTCATTCGGCAATAATTGAGAAGTATATTGCATGTTTGATTAAACGAGCTGTAAATCCAGGCGCTATTTTTATTTTGATAGCTAAAAATAATACTAATTCTTTTATTGTTAGCTATTAAAATAAGAGCAGCATTTGGATTAATAACACATTTAAAAGAACATGTAATATACTTTTCAATTTTACCTGAATCACTTATTTTTTACCTTAGAGGTTAGATCTGAAAAAAATTGGCTCTGGTAAAAAAAAACAAAAAATTGTATAAAGTATTTTATTTGAAAAATTATAAAACTTAATTAATTTATTTTAAAGTCGAGGATAACTCTAGCCATATCCATTTTACTGAAAAAAAAAAAAAAAAAGAAACTATTAAATGAAATCATTTAGTTATTAAGAGATGTTTGTGATAATACAGTGACAGCTATCGAATGTTGTACAATACGTTTTGCTAATGTCCAAGTAAAAACTACAAAGAGTTAGCATTAGTGGGAGAAGAAATAGAATACTATGAACGTAGCCAGCCGGCTACGTGGGGATGCATCACACCGTGTGCTTGTTCATATTACACAGCACACAAGGCAACATTCATATTATTCGTTTCCTGATCGAACTAATGCGCTAACTCTTTAGTTTTCTTTTCGATGTTAGCCAAGCGTATTGGTCACTTGTCAATACTGACACTTCATGCTTCGCTTGTCAAACACTTCCTCTTCAACCAATGAACGTGCCGATGTTGGACGTGTCAAAATTCAAAACGATACTAGCGCCATGAGACCTGTGTCTGGCCGCAGCGTAACTCAAAGCCATTTCTTGAATCCCAGTAACATTACTATAGGGGATATATTGTGGTGAACACACAGATTAAGAATTTATTTAAAATATTTTCTATATCTTAGTGTGCGTAAATACCTGCTACCCTAATTTTTGAAAGGTTTTCACAGCGTCCTATAAAGTTTCATTTTTGAGACTTAAGGGTTTTCTGATTAAGCCGACGATATATAATAAATATGCTTTTTTTTTATTTTGTAGTGGTTTATTTATATTTACTAATTATCGTTAATTATTAATGATTAGATCTATATCTAAGGTTAAACATTTTTTTTTAATTTTGTTAAATAATTGATGTCCATATTTGATAAGTTTCACAATATTTGTTAATTAGTAAAATCTTTTAAAAAATAATCTTGATAGGAATTTTATTTATTAAAATTATATAAGATAAAAACTAGAAGTACACCATTAAATGGCATTTTAATATGTATATTTTGATTCATATTTGAATTAGTTTTATTAGAAATGTACTTTAGTAGAAAAGGCCACTATTTCCGATATCTCAGTTAACAACGAATATACGATGGAGTGATGACAGTAACTCACCAGACCCTTAACTCAGACACACACTTGCACTAATGTAGTTTTGAATAATAATTTTATTGAGGCACGTAAATTAAAAATTTCTATTTTGCATCATGTTCCTTTATTTCAGACATATCCAGAATGGGAAAGCAAAAAGAACTTAATGCTTTCATCTTTCTTTTGGGGATACATTTGTCTACAAGTTGGTGCTGGTCAGTTGGCCAAAAACTATGGACCAAAATTATTTTTGTGTGTAGCCATCTTCGTTACCTCATTATTTACGATTCTAATTCCTATACTTGGAGAAGCAATAGGTTATGGTGGGGTAATTTTATGCAGAATCGTGCAAGGACTATCCCAAGGATTTCTAGTGCCCTCTATTCATAATTTACTCAGTCATTGGGCTCCCACTTCAGAGAGAGCTACTTATGGAAGTGCTGTGTATGCAGGTGAGTGAATTTTGGGTCGCGGACAATTGTTCGGAAAATATCTGATCGAATAACATAAGACCGAAATTTTAAAATTCGGAAAGGCAAAAGTATGAGAAGCTAGTGATTGAAATAGCAAAATAATCAAATACAAAATCGAAAATAATTTTTTCAAAAATAAATTTAAACATACTGTTATATTTTGGAGCTATCTTGTTATAGTTACATTATCATTCATCGCCCGGGAGCAAGTAATAACATTAAACTCTTTGAACTATACGAATATTTGTACCATCACGAGATTACAAGCATGTATCATCTAGTACGGAGTCAAAACTGATTGTACTCCGAATGATTAGTAGTTGCTTCATATCCGCGGAAATCAAGCCAATATTTTAAATAAATTCACATGTCCATTTAATAAACTCTTATTTTGTTGAATAAATGTTTTTGTTCAACTAAAAATTGTCCACTACACCTCTTATTACATCTATCCTGGGACATATTGTATGAGATAGTAAACTCTGTCGATATATATTTATACAGCTTTAAGTATACAATAAATCAAGACTTTTTATTTTACAGCCAACTCAATGTGTACTTAAAAGCAGCTGCATTTATAATGCAAGCTTTGTCAGTCTCAAAAATATTATTGAAACATTTAATACTGAATGTAATAGTGAACTATTGAAATTATATACATACCTACAAAAAATATTGCTCATTATTCAATTTAAATCAAATCATTTAAAATGTCTAGTTTAAAATATATTTCGTTTTTACATTTATAAAATTCTTTCAAATAAATTATTTTTCAATCCAATGCTTTTCGATCATTTGCAATTTCGATCACTGGCTATCGATCAATTATTGATATTCGATTTTTTGCTTTTTAGATCAAATGCTATTCGAACAAAAACATTCGATTAAATGTATTCGAACAATTATTATTCACGATCTGTGATTTTTGGGCTATTAAAACCAGATTTTCATCATTCAATTTTCAATTTTGCAGGTCAAGCCTTAGGAAACGTTTTCGCAATGCCTATAACAGGTTTTATTTGTGCAACAAGATTTGGTTGGCCAGCTTCTTTTTACTTATACGGTAGTTTAGGCATGACATGGTGTATTATTTGGATACTATTTGGTTCAGATAGTCCAGCAAGACATAAAAGTATATCCGATGAAGAGTTAAAGTTTATTGAATCTTCGATATTACAAGAAGGTGACGTTACGGTTAGTATATTATATAAAGTAAACGGATAAATTATGAAATAACTTATTTATTGTAATAATTTTGTTACGCTGGTTTTTGGTAAATTCAACTACTATTAGATTAACGTACAACGTCCATGATGAAACTGAACTGTGACGTTAAGATCATCTATTTATATATAGCTCCTTTGATTTTTTCGAAACTTCCAGATGTTTATTGATACGTAATGATATTTTTAGATATTTCTAGACTGTCCTCTTTTCTTCTTTTGTTCGTACTTTTGCTTATAACAACCGAGGCACTCTATAGGGTAGGGATTCCCAAAGTTTTCAATACCGACCCTTATGGTCGAAATCGGTTTTCCAGGAATCGACGTAAACGAAAATTAATTTTTGTGGTCGACTAGGTTTTAAAATGGACCCCTATTAATTTACACAAGATACCGTAAAAGTTGTGTTACGTGTACCAACTTAATAAAAGAATGACTAATATTTTAGTAGGAAGTATCATTGTTGTACTTTTAAAAAACTCAACAAGTCGATAAGCATGCACAAGTTAGTACAAGATGAACAACTCAGCAAATCAATAAGCGTGGACAAGTTCATGCAAGTTCAAGTCCAAACATACTCCTGATATTTTACTATATGTATAACAAGCTTGCACTTAGGTTGAAAGTTCATTTGCGTTTTAAAATTAGTTGGAGCTTGAATGATAAATACACTCATCTACTGTTTATTTACAGAGATTACAAAGTAATTACATAGTTAAAGTGATGGAAAAAAAAATTACAAAGTGCTTAAATACCTAAGCGCATTAATAGCGTAACCATAAATTTCTGCAGTTTCTGAAAAAGTAACAGGGTAAGTACCAAAATATGTTTTAAGTATTTTTTAAAATTACTTTAGAAAAGTTGTTATCTAAAATTATAAATGTTCAGTTTTCTTTGTTTTCGTTTTTTACCCTGATTGGTACCTAATACAAATTTTCTATACTACAGTGACTATATCCAAGTTTATCAATGAGTAAGTTCGTGAGCATACCTAAAAAAACATTCAGTGCCTAGGTGTGATAAAAATAAGCTCGTGTGCAAATTTAACGGTTTTATTAAGTAGTTTCTTATACATATTTTTTTTTGCAGGTTTACTGCGAGTTTTATGATGGCAGATACGAAAAAAATGCCGACCATACAGTTTGGACTACTTAAAGTTTGGATTTATTTTATCTCTATCAAATCAGCACTTGTCGATGTGTCTCATATGTTAAAAGCATTCTTTCAAGCGTTTAAAAAAAACTAGGGAAAAGGCAATCCTTAAGATCGATGTTTGCATCATCATCATCATCTATGCAAGACGTTGATGGTTTACGAGCGTCCTATACTATATATTTACTAATAGCCAAGTCAAGGAAAACCGTCACAATTGGCAAACAGCTTATTTTACCAACCATTGCAGGGGTCCTCAACAAGCTCTATTCTTAGGATATGTTCGATATATTAAAGATGAAAATATGTGTCAAGGACTCATTTTTGCTACATATTTAGAGACTAATACGAGAGAAGAATCGATTTTTTATGCCGTGGAACAATGTTTTACCGACAAAGCTATTCCATGGAAGAACATTGTGTTTTTTTTTTATTTTCTCTTTCTTGATGGCACACTGTTAATAACTTAAACAATCCTGTGTACTTTAATTTTTTAATAAAACATAACTCAAAGAACGTTGAACAATAAATATAATAAACGACAAGGGTTTATATTAGTTAAAACTGTCTGATTTAACAGTGAAATGATGAAAGCACAAATGCACAAATACACATTGCACAATGCCGATCAGCGTTGGGTTTTTAGTAGTAACAGCTTATACTGAAATTCAGATCGTGATTGTACTAGAACGTACTAGATTTGATAGTAAATTTCAACTGAGAAAACAAACTCATTTTAAATGAAAAAACAAATAAAATAGGTATCACAAAAATATTACGTTGGTAAATAAAAAATTTTAAAAGAAACTAAAATAAAGTTTATTTTATAAAAAAATATAAACTAAAATACCTAAAACAAAAATATATCTTTACGTTATATGGTTAAATAATAAAATTTAAAAATAAAAACTTATTTTTAATAGAAAAATAAATAAAATAGGTGTAACAAAAATATATCTTTATACCTATTGATAAATAAAAAAATGTAAAAATTCAAAAATATTTGTTATTTCAATAGATTTAGAATAATTAATCTTTAACAGACTCAAGTATACAACAGATGAGAACCTAGCTGGTGGCTGTCACTATACATTTTTTTAACCTCCTCACCTTTTATGAAGAACAGGGCGAATCAAGATTCTACCTAAAGGGATTCATCAGCGACTCTCTTCTATTTTCCCAGTAGGTATATGGACGAAGGGGTGACTGAGGCTAGGGGGAAAATAGTAATCAGCTTAAGTTGGTAACATTTTTCTGATGTTCATTTGCTGAACACCATGATTATCGTTTTTTCCTGCAATAATAGTATTATAAAAACAGAGACAGGTCTACTTTTTACGTGCACGAGGTTTGATGATCTCTTAAATTTACAAATTCCTTAATGGATAATAAATCCGTACAATATCACAGCCATGGAAGAAGCCAATATGATAATGCAAATAAATTTGATCACCATCAGCCAGCATAGCTGAGCTTAAGCAGAAGTTCAACCAAGGCTATTAGAAGTTCTGGTTGCAACGCAACATTGAAACACAGTATTCTGTATTGTGGAACATTGCTGAAAAATACCTTATCGCTTTTCTATCATCATACCTAGTCGAAAAAGGGTTCACTGTGGTTACAAACATTTTGACAAAACAAAGAAACCCTTTTAAACTCAGAAAATCAACAAGCGCGGTAATTTAACACGTTAACCGCCCAATGGAAACAAATAAATCGTGCTCCGGGGGTCAATTTGTTATTTTCTCATATATTCTTTGAAATGCTCCACATCACCTTTTTAGATATTCAAACATTGACAAAATGTTCATTTTGTGTCATTTATGACAGTTTTTGACAGTGGTACAACGTTTGTACCACTGACCCTGAACTAGATCCATTTACTGTTTGGGCCACGTGGTACTAAACTTGTACCACTGTACAATCGGTCAAGAGAGACAAAAGCCGCGAGATGCGATGTGTTGTTTGCTACAATAAACTTTCCATGGCATACACAGTGACACTAGCAAGAAATAAAGCTGCAAGAAGTACGCGGCAATGTGAAGCGTGTAATAAAAATTTCTGCGTGGAATGCTACCATAAAATTTTATTTTTTTACTAATTTTCTTTTTCATGATTTAATTTTATAAGGATTTTTTATTATTTTACACATTTTTTGTAACTCATGATTTATTATAATTTTATACGGATTTATTTTAGTTGTTTTGTATTTTTTTACCTCCCTAAATAAACACATTTTTTTATAAATTTTCGTTTTATTTTTCCAAAGAGCATTGCATAATTATATGTATCAGGCCCACTAATTCAACATCCCATGCTAAAATATACGTTAAATGTACCAATTCCCACTTCATTAGCCTAAACGTTCTGATCGTTGCAAGGGTACAACAGTTGGAACACTGGCCCAAACGTAAATTTCGTTGGGGTACGCGAGTGTACCAGCGTTTCTACCACGTGGCGGTTAACGTGTTAAGGCTGCAACTAATCAATATTGAACCAGATTTAGCTAGATTGGTAGAAAGTCACCAGGTTTATCCATTACACTGAATTTTTTATTTTTTTATCTTTACTTTGAGATTTTAATGTCGCAAAATTTTAAATTGGTAAGCATTTTGTATCAATAAAAAAAAAAATAGAGAGGATTTTTAAAATAATTTGGCTATCTGGGTCTGAGGTATCATTTCATTTTGGAAAAGGGGTCTCGTGCCCAAAATTGTTTGAGAATCCCTGCTTTAGGGTGATGGGCTGATGGGTAACATTGCACTTCTTTTATTCATTTACCTATAACAGCCGCAGGTTACTGGCAGGGTGCAGGGTAACAATATTATTGTATTTTCATATAAAGATAACAAATTGTTTAGGACTTGCTTGTTAACTATAAAATCACAGACACTTCCTTATACGTCAAATAAATTATTTTTAAAGTTTTTTGTACACCTTCTAACGGATTTAATTTAAGTGTTTATTCGTTATAAGTGAAAGTAATTGTTTTAGTTTGAAATTAATGTGGATCTTGCATGAAGAACGTACAGAATGATTTTTGCATGAGGTTTAACGAATGCAAGAATTCATATGTGAAAATCAAAAAGGTTATGGGCCCAAATAATATTTTTACATGGACAAGCTTAAGGGGTAATGATCCCAACTATGTTTAAAGGGTAAAGGGTCAAATTCTCTTACATAGGTAGACGAAAGGGGTAAAGGGTCCAAATAGTTTTACATGCACAGGCTTAAAGGGTAAATGGCCCAAAAAGGGACCAAATATTTTAATATAGGCTAGCTTAAGGAATAAAATTACCAAATATTTTTACCTAGACAAGCTTAAGATAGAAATGGGCCAAATATTAATACATGGGCACGCGTACAAACATTTTTACATGGGCAGGCTTAAGAGGTAAATTAACCAATTATTTTTTCTCAAGGATTAATGGGATGTTATATTTTTACGTAAACATACTTAAAAGGTAAAGGGTCGAAATACTTTAAAACAAATTGTTCAAACAATTTGGAATCCATATTCAAAGGGCGACATGGAATGGTTCTTAAAAACCAGTACCAGAATTGTAATTATCTGACACTCTAGGTTGTTTAACCTAAGTAACGCAAATACTTGATAAATCTCAAAATTCAACATTACAATACTTTTTATCGGTTTTTTTCTCTCCTTCAAAATCAAATCACTTATCGTTTCTTTAAGTTACGAATTTGCCCATGGGAAAATCAGTCTCGATAAGGTAAGAATAACCAATTTAGTGTCTCTCGAATTTTGCTTAAATTCTATAGGTTTCATTTACAAAAATTGTAAAGATTTAAAATTTCTTTTCTAAAAATCTTGACTTTGGATATATGTTCGATCGCGTCTTGAATAAGCTGCTTTGGTTTGGCCCCCATATTACAGAATTTACAAGGATCAAGTTAAAAGTATCCTAAAAAATATCTCTGTACTTTCTAATTCTTTATTTTTAACCATGAAAAATATAGTACAAATGTTAACAAAATCTCCAGTCTGTCATAGTGACAACATTGGAAAAATAAATATGAAGGGTGAAACCAAAATACTAAAATAAATAACATACCGTGTTATTAGAAACTAAGAAACATAACAATGCTACCCCCTTAATTATAACTAAATCGGCTGATTTTCTAGTTCGTGTGCTTCTTCTGGGTCCTAGTTCTCTATCGTTACCACTGCTTTACGTATTCGTCTGTTCTGCTTTCTGTATCAGGATTGGATAAACACTCGTCTCTTTCAGGATGGGTTTCCTCATCAGCGTCGTTTTTATTATCTTGGATTACTAAAGATGTCTCGCCTACCGGCTTTCTACTTAAATTGCTTTGTTTGGGTAATACTGTCTTATTTTCCGAAATAACAGTAGGTCCGCTAGCTTGGATATTATCTTCGTAATCAAAATTGTCAGTCAGGGATAATTCCTGGCCATAATCACAAACAAATTGTAATATCTGGCTTTTGGCTATTTGATCCACGCGTCTTCGACAAATAATGCCATTTGCGTTAATTAAATAGTATAAAAAACCATATTTTTAATAATCTTCCCAAATTTTCACATGTTCGATTTATTATAGTTTCTAAATCGTAATGATTCTCCTACCTAAAATGTTTTTTGCATAATTGCATCTTGTAAATTTCTTTCTAGTTTTGGGATTGGTTTGATTAGATTAAATTTAGTTCTATTTCCTCTTTTTAATTTAAAATCAATATATCCATGCTTCCTTTTTCTAGAGCAATCTTTTTTAGTGCCTTTTTCATTGATTGAACGTATCGTTTTACTTGTCCATTGGTAGGAGCATTATCAGTTAACATTGCAACTGGAATACCAAAACGTGCAAATGTACTTCTGAGTATCGGATGTCATAGATTTAGTAATAAAAATTTCTGGCCATTTTAAGTAAGCCACAATTATTAGGAAATAGTTTCCAATGAAAGTTTCAGCAAAATCTAAGTGTATACGCTGCCAAGGTTTACTCGGATAATCCCAACAATGTGCATTGTTTTTGGGCTCATTATTTTGTATCAATTGACAGGGTAAACAACTTCCAACTAGATGTTCGATATCAATTTTTGGCCACCAAACATATGACCTAGCTAAATTTTTCATTTTTACTATACCAACGTGGGCATCATGTAATTCATTTAAAACTTTTTGTCGAAGGGAAACTTGTATAAAAATTCTGTTCCCTTTTAAAATCACCCCTTCTGACAAAGAAAATTTCGTATCTTTATTTTCAAACTCGGATTGAGTAATTTTATTTCCTTTTTCTAAATTATTGTATACTTGTTGCAGAGTTGGATCTTTGCTAGTTTCGTCTACTCTATCCCTATGAGTAACGGGTAAGAAATAAATTTGTTGTAACTGAAATATAGTAACATCATCTACTTTAGAGTTGTCCTTGTCTGAAATAAACCTAAAAAGTGAGTCTGCATTCCCATGATTTTCCGTCCTTCTATAAACAATTTCATAATCCAGTCCTTTTAAGAACTGTGCGTAATGTAGTAATTTTTCCTGGTAAAAAATAAAAACCAAAGGTTTATGGTCGGTAATTAGTCCCTAAAAAATTACGGTAGCTTCTTTGTCAATTTGACTGTAAATTTTTTCTAATTTAGTCAAAGTTCTTGAAGCATAAGCAATGGGTCTCTCGGATCCATTAGGCATGATATGTGAAATGACAGCTCCCAAGGCATAAGGACTAGAATCAGTAGCTAGTATCAAAGGCAAATCAGGGTCACATATGCGACCAGTACTTTGTCAGAAGTATTTTTATATTTTATAAGGAGGAAACTTTCGCAATTTTTATCCCAAATAAAAGGTAAATTTTTCTGTAACAAATTATATAATGGTTGTAATTTTGTAGCTAAATTCTCTAAAAATCTCCCATAATAATTTACTATTCCTAACCAACTCTTCAGTTCGATAACATTATGAGGTATTTGAGCGTCTACTATAGCTTACATTTTTTCTGGAGTTTTTATAATCCCTGAGAGGTTATTTTGTCCTAGATAAACAATAGAAAATTTGAAAAACTTAAATGTTTTTCTTTAATATGTAATCCGACTTCTTTTAATTTTTTTAGAACTTTTTCAAATCTATCTAAATGTACCAAAAATGTTTTTTTAGGTTTGGTATTGGGTACTTGTCGTCTTTCGAAACTCGATTTGGCAGCACACAGCCGAATAGTACCATCCTTTTTTATTATAGGCACTACCGCGTTCCCCATTTACTATATTCCATTCTTGAAATGATACCTAATTTTTCCAAACGATCAATTTCCTGTTCAACTTTCTCCTGTAAGGCCTATGGGACTTTCCAAGCACTATAGTAAATAGGTTAAGTATTATCTTTTAAGTAAAGTTTCGCTTCATATTTTTTAATTTTCCGTATTCCTTCTATGAAAACTTCAGAATATTTCTCTTTTAGTTTCCTTACTGTATTTTGTACAAGATCATTTAAAATAGTAATATTTAAATTTCCTTGTATTTGATGGATCTGTGTTTGTAAGACTTGAAAAATCTGAAGTCATTCCCTTCCAAAAACTGGTTCTATCTTTCTCGGTAGTATATACAAATTTGCAACAGCTTTTTGTATATTAAAGGTAACTTCAACTGTAGAATATCCTATAGGATGAGTCACTTCCCCAGTATAGGTACGTATGAAGTGGTAAAGATAATGGAAAAATTCTTGCTCTTCGACATAGTGATATAAATTGATTATATGAAATTGATGAAACTTCAGCTCCTATATCATATTCAAATAAAATTGGTTGTTCGTTGATTTTAAGGTCTAACATAATTTTGGCAGGTTTATTTAAAGAAGCTTCATCTTGTATCCTAAATGTCGATTATGAATTACTGGTACTAGCTTCTTTAATCACCGCATTCATTTTTAGTTGATTCTGATATTTAAAATTTCTTCCTTTCGGAGTAGTTGAAATATTCTTTAGGAACTGATTTGATGGATTGGGCATGCTTGTCCAAGGGAATAATAGTATATAATCTACTTCTCAATAGGTTTGCCTTGCTTTTGTTAGCTAATCGCATATTTTTATAAAATCTAGAAAAAGTCAAATTAATTGGTCAGAATTATTAAGTTACTTACATTTTCATAATTTTGGACAAAGTTGCTACCTATACCTCGTATTCATATTTATAGAAAATAGTCAATGTTTTTAATTAGTTCTGCTTACAATAAAATTTGCAGTAACTCTGATATATTTTTATTGGTATTTTAAAAATAAAGTAAGAACATTAATCTCAGACGTATAAGTCGCTTCACTTTATTATTGGTTTTTTTTTAATGTTTATTACATTTTTTAAATTACATAGTAGGTAATTTTAATATTTTTCGTATATTTATAGCATTACTTTTGCTAAATTAATTTGTTCGATAATTGAGATTTTTCCTAGCAAACAATAACTGTTTCGATCTCAACATTTTCCAGAAAATTGCAACACCATGGAAGTCCATCTTTACATCGTTGCCAATGATAGCTGTAATTGTAGCACACGTCGGTCAGAATTGGGGATTTTGGACACTGCTTACTGAAATACCGAGTTTCATGGAGAAAATATTGGGTGAAGATATTGCCTCGGTAAGATATTTCATAAAATGTTACAAATATTAGCATAAATGAATCACTTATAAAAATACTACGTACCTTTTAAAAACTTTATTTTTTTTTTATTTCTATTTATCCGTTTCTTACTATTTTAATTATTTTCTCTATTTAGGGTGAAAGTTTAATTACATTTTATTTTATTTGCAAATTAATTTGAAATTGGTCAAATCTAAAGATTTAAGATTTGTAAGACATATTTGAAATAAATTAGAGCAGAGTTGCCGATGCCAGTATTAATAATGTAACTTTCAGATCAACAAAAATAGGAGAAAGTTTGAATTTATTTGACCTTTTTAATTTTTATTTTTTATTTCATTTTAAATTACTATTTTTTTAACTTTATAAAAGATGTTTAAAACAAAAGTGGCCCGTTGCTAGCATGAGTAGAACACTGGAAAATCAGTTGAGTTTTTTCAGCAAACAATTTTGGTAAGATCATCCGTTTTCATGATACAGGGTATTAAAAAAATGTATACACATTTTTATGAACAAGAACTATTCAGAAAGAGAATATCATTTTAAATTTAGTTGATGAAGATCTAACAATTAACGTAAGGAATGTGACACAACAAAGAAATACGTCTTCTGCAAGTACTTGGAGGATACTAAAGGAGCAGCAGCTACACTCACTACAGATAAGTCCAAGATATCTTGGATTTTTGTGAAACGTTACAAAAAAGGACGGCACTTATTTCCAATTTTTTAAAATGTATCCTTTTTAGCGATGAGGCCACCTTTACATGACAAGGAATGTTTAATTCTCATAATACACACTACTGGTCTAAGTAACACGGGTACTTTGGTCCGAATGTGTTTAGTGGATTCGTTTCTATTATTATTCATATTTTTATTTTAAAATACATTTTTCCAATAAATACATTTAACAACATTTTACTTCTTTTCGATATCGTTTCCATTTCAACTTTTAAAAGGGTTCAGATATGCTTTAAAAATGATGCCGCTCCGACTTTATATAAAATAAATACTTTTACATTTCTCCAACAGCAATATTGTTAATCTTTTAGTTTCTAGGTCAATAAATTAAACTTATAAGAATACACACACAAGTTAAACTAACAGGTTTGTTTTGGTAGTTTCATAAGATAGTTTAGAATCAGTGAATTACAATCGTTCAGCTTGATAGGCTGTTATATTATCTCGATATATTCATAAAAAAATGAGTTCGTCCACTGTATTTGAGAATTGGAATTGACGGTTCTGTTTGAACCAAAACAAACCCAACTTTAAATAAACAAAAACTGGCGCAGGGTAAAATGCATATGATCAATATTTTAGGAATTACTTTTTCCTTTAAAAAATACTTACTAAGAACCATAAAATTAATTTGGATCGCAAATAAATGTGTGTCTTAAAATAGGAAACGTTTAGGATTTAGGTTTTTGATTGATCACTAATTCATTTCATTTTGTTAAGTACTTAATTGCGTTACTTTTGATTTCAGTATCCCCTAGAGGGATAAAAACGGATACGCATTGTGACGCGAAAGTGTGACACTTTATTTGAAAGATAATTTTATTAGTAATTTAAATACCATAAGATTGTTGCCGTAATGTTAAATCAATTTAAATTATTGAACCTTGTAGAGCCCTAACATTAAAAGAAACTTCAATTGCAATCATTTGAATTAACAAAATTTTGAAGTTAAATTATTATAACAAATTTAGCTTTCAAGTGAAGTGTCACACAATACATGACAGTTTTATTCCACTGGGACGCTAAAATCAAAAAGTAATGCAATAAATATTCGTATTGTTGAATTCGCTGTAAAATTCACCTCTTCAGCGATGGGTCATATTTAGTACTTTTATTTTGTGACACACTGTAAACATGGTACTTCACTTTAAATCTTTATTTTTAGTGAACGAAAAATATGTACATGTAGGAAAGCGTTAAATTTGTGTCCTACCTATGGAGCTACTTTTTTAAAATCTAATACAATTTAAAAAAAACCGCAAAATTTCGATTATTTTCACTATTTTTCCGTTTTAAAATGAAACAAAATTTTAGAAAAGTGGTCCCAGTGGTACACAGATTTAATTTTTGAGTATTTTCCTTTCACCAATACTGATTGACAAATGTGAATATAAGACAAATTATGCTATAAGACAAAAAACAGCAAATTTAGAGAAAATAGTTTTGAGTAAAATCATTTATAAAACGGTATTGAATGCTTGTTGGTTTCTAAGATCTGTAACGGCTCCCAGCTCTGATTAGGTCCATTTTAAATAATGATAAATTAAAATAAAACTAACAGATTTAATACCATTATCATATTTCAGTAGTGCTACCTTATGGCAAAAATTCACCTGTTACATCTTATTACAATTTTAAAACAATATCTCATGCCTTTTAAGTCATACATATTATGTACTGGTCTTTGTTACCCACGCTCGAACGAAATACTTAATATTCTGAATCTGTCAATTATATTGATAATATTTTTTTATGTTTTTAGAATAGTTTATTATCAGCTTTACCTTATTTCATCATGTGGCTTTTAACGTTGCTCTTAAGTCCAATAGCTGATAAAATAATTGATAAAGAAATTGTAAGTCTGGTGGCAAGTAGAAAAATTTTTAATACAATTGGTAAGTTATTAAACTTTTTATAATGTTCTTGTTGCAATTTTTTTCTAAAATTAATAATAAATAATTGCCAAACGGATAGTTGAAATCCCAGTAACTGATATAACTATAATGAGTGAATGTGAATTTTTTTAAATATCTCTGAACCTCAATATAAATGGGCTGTGAATTAAAATTAAAAATATTTCGATATAGCTCTAAAATGTTATCTTAGTATAAAAATACCAGAGATAACAGGGTACGGGGTAAGTTACACAGCATTCCCATTACTCGCTTGCCAGGAAGGTACCTTTTTATACCCATTCATAAGCATGACAAACTCATTTAATAGCCTCATCAACGTTGTCAACTTCTTTATAATGGTAACTTGGTTGACGATCTAAAAGAAAGCTTCTCGGGGAGTTTAGCCCACTTTGGCAAGTATGATATACACATGCAAGCAATCTTCTACCGAAGAGGTCAACTAACAGATATACCATTAAACTAGTATAAAGAAAATTCAATACCATCTGATACCAAATATAAATTAAGTAACGAGAAGGAAGCTGATGACATTCTAAATTATCAAAAAGGTAAATCAAACAAGGGTGGTCCTTAGGATCTCACAAGATATACTCTTGTGAGATCCTAAGGACCACCCTTGTTTGATTTACCTTTTTGAACTTATAACTCACACATGGCTACCACCTTCAACTTTAATTCTAAATTATTTTTAAGTGCGAAGTCTTCTCAATTAATATTTCAAGACTCCAATATAGTCGCCAGCTTATTAAGAGAAGAAAGTAGCTTCATAGATAATAAAAGAGGAACAACGAGAGGTACATGTTCAGACAGTATACCAGTCTTTACCTGTTTTACTTTACGACTGGGGACTGGGTCGAAAGCATTAGGCAATATGGTGGAATGAATATTGAAACGTATCCTCTCTTTGTTCTCCTTTTATTTGGTTCTCTCAGCGAATTGCCAACATGCGATGAATTTCTGTAAATCCTGCATTTCTGTTTTCTATAATTATTAGTTTATAGTATGTTTAATATCCATTTAATATTTTTTTATTTTCTTTTAATTTAGGATTTGGAGTTCCTGCCATAGCACTCATATCACTATGTTTTGTAACTGACAAAACAACCACGATGATCTTACTGGTGGTAGCTGTAGGATTCAATTCTGCTCAGTATAGTGGTTTTAATATTAATCACATTGATCTGTCCCCAAATCATTCAGGTACATTGATGGCCATAACGAATAGTTCTGCTACTGTTGCATCAATACTAGCTCCACTTGCTGTCGACTTTTTTGTACACATTAGTCATTATGAAGAGGTAAGCATTTATGTATTTATTATAAAAACAAAATGTAAGTAACCTTAGCCTGGGTACCAGGCCATAGGTGATATAAGGGAAATAAAAAGCTCCAAAAGGGGCTTTTTCTGGCCCAGAATTTTTGTGTGGTGTCATAACATGCACAAAACAGTGAATGTTAAATAAATGTCAGGTATGGTGAAATAATTCACCAGGATAGAGACAGAGCAAATAATAAAAGCCCTACTGATTCGTCTTCAATATTGATCCTATCTTCTTCATATGGTTTCTTACACGGTACTGACATGTTATCAGAATCGTAGGTCATGGACTACTGCTCTAAGCGCTCAAAATATTAAACACTTTGATACATTTTAAGATATAATTTTTAACATGCTATTAAATCAATATTAATTTTTTACATTTCAGACAGATAAAAGCCTATGGAATATCGTATTCTGTGTGGCTGCAGGCGTCTACTTAGCTGCCAATATATTTTATATTATTTTTGCCTCCGGTGAACTACAACCGTGGAACAACATTGGCGAAAAGGTTAAAGAAGATAAATTAAATCAAGACAAAGTTAAACTGGGAATTTTACGGAAGATTTCAGTGATATCAGTAGCTTAATTATTGTAAGCGTTAATTATTTAAATTAATAATTTAGTTATGTAACTTTTGTAGGTCAAATATGTGTGTATAAATAAATATTATATTTTTTTATTTGTTTTTGGCTATTAATATGATTATTTACTGCTGGACTTAGTAACATCTTACAGATTACTAAATAATGTCATTTAACTTGTAGGTAGGAGAAAACCCGACCACTCCCAGCTAGCACAAAAACATCCCATCTACGTTAATAAGCTGCAATTTTAGGCTCTTTAAGCTCGCATGCAATGTACTGTAAATGTAACCCTTATCTCCCTGCAACTACCGAATGTCCGCAACGGCAAGACCTTTATAGCACATCTCACAGAAGTTACAAAGTGAAGTTCGAAAAACATCACACTAGCACTTTTACGGTACTTACCCCGAAAGTTGCTCTGAAACGTTCTATTGATGTTATAATGTGAATTAGATCTACAGCATTATACAGTGTGTCCACGGATGGGCTTAACTATACTTGTGAAAATATTTATTTTAAATTAAAAAAGTAATTCTTCATAATTTCTTGCTTGTTAAATAAATTCGATTCACATTGAGAAATTATGAAAAATAACTTTTTCTTTAATTTAAAATAAATATTTTTACAAGTATAATTAAGTCCATCCGTGGACACACATTGTGTAATGTAATACAGAGAGGCTGAAATTGAGGCTATAGTAAAATCTCAATCGAGACATGAAAATTTCAAATAAAACAAAATATTTATATAACTTTATTATTAAAATGTTCTTGAAATCAAGTACCAATAGCACAAAAGTAGAGGTAGCTGTAGGCGTGTTCTTTTATTCAGTGCTGTATCCAGCGCTTGCAGCAAACCGTTCGTAAATTAAGTGATGGAAAGACGATTGTATGTGTGAATCATTCTTTTTTCCAGCGATGAGTTCACCAATGAGCCAAGGCATCCATCGGCTTTTAAAGCCAATGGATATGTGATAGACGAATGGTGAGGATAATCAATCATTTAAGTTAACCTAAATTTATGAGTTCAAATATAAAACGACTGCAGAATAGATAAATTACATCAATCACTGATGGAACAATTATTGAATAAAAGAACACACCTTATATCACAAACACAAACGCAGTTACACATGTGCGATAGTAGAAGCTACCTAGAAAGCACTGAACGATTGGACAAAATTAGCTAAATAGTATAATAAGCTACCAATATTGCAAAGGTTCACTAAAACCTTAAATGGTGAACGATGATAAAGCTAGATTGGTGAAAAATAATAAACGAATACAACAATGACTAGGTACATATTATTATATTAGATTACTAGAGGATAGCTAAGTTCGCTGATTTTTTACCTAAGACGCAGAGATATATCTTTTTTAAATCAAGCCTCCTTTTAACTTTTTTTGCATAGATATTTATAAAGTGCTATAATGTAACCTAAATATGACAATTTATTAGAAGAGCATAAATTATATTTTTATATAAAAAGATTTTACTTCTCAATACATTGAATAAAAAGAAATTGATAACTTGTTTACCTATTATTAATTAAAGGAAATTATATAGAAATTAAAAAATATGTCTTACTTTGTTGTTTTAAATAAAACAACCAATGTTAGTGTATTGAAAATTGTTTGAATTTTAAAAATTTTATGCTTGATTTCCAAAGTAGATATATCGATGGCTCAATCAAAAACCGCCACAAGTCAAAAAACAAAGCAATTACATTTTTGGTTCAATGGATGCAAAATATCATTACGGTTTTACTTTAAATACCACCACAAACAAAAATATCCTTAAAGATAAATCATTTAAAATGTAGCCACAAACTGTGTCTAAAACTACCTCAATTCGAGTTATTTTCTTCAAAAACACCCAAATTTTTTACAACTATGCAACAACTCACTTTTATAATCGTAATCATTTTATTTAACAGCAAAATATCGAAGCTTTTAAATAAAATATAAAGAGTATGTCAAAAACAAAATATTGATAATAGAGACTAACAAAATTTCAAAATGAAATTTCTCGAAATAATAGTATTTTAGTTGTGGCAGTATTTGATTGAGCCATCGATATGTAGATTTTATAAAAAACAACTGGTGTTTTTTAGCAAGATATTCTATTATACTCGAGAGTATCATCTATGATTTCTCTCAACTTTTCTGCTGGGTTTTCACTTGAACTGATGGTTGCATTTCCAGGCAATCTAGCCTGTTGAAGAGAATGAACTGCTTGAATTCTGATATACCTGACATATCATGTACCTATAGATTCACTTTTTATAAAACTTCAGGTGTTATATTCTTCTTTACACTTCTGTAGTATTTACTTTTGCTTCTAAAATTCCTAGAATGTCGAAGGAAACCTAAAAAATAATATTTTTAAAATGTATTTTTAGTTCGATAAAGTATAATTACCTTTTGTAAGTATTTGGTGTCAAATGTTGCCGGACATTCGGTTAAATGTTTATCTTCTGGTTTACAACGATTGATCTGCCTGTCTGCAATTCTTTGTTTTTATTGTAGTTTTTTTTTTATTTGGTGTCATCGGCATCGACTGCTAAAGATACTTAATGAATGAAATAATAAATTT